TCTTTCTAATATTAGATCATATCTTTTTGCTACCTGGGGCGTCTTCTAATTGCAAGATGAAGTATTTATACTGCACCATTTCGTCTATAAACTCAGGCTCAAAGTCCTCGAAATAATGTTCCTTAAACTTTGTGCAAGCCTGTCTAATTTCAGCGTCGGATTTTGTCGAGAAATCTGTTAGAAACCCAAACAGATCATTTATTTCCCGGTAAGCTTCTAGGCGCCGAGACAGTTCTGTACACAGCATGTCTAGTACTGGCAAATATGTATCAACTTTTAAGGCCATTACAGCATTTTCTTTTTTTGCCAAGTGATTCAATAGACATTTCGCCTCGTGAATCGCTTGTGATGTCTGAGTCTCCCCGCCAGCAAGAGACTGCAAAGCTTTCTGAAAACTGTTGTAACCATTTGCCAAAGCCTTAGTAGCATCGGCCCTTGCACACCATCTTGTATCGGATACTCTTTTCAGAACCAATGACGGATCTTGCTTACGTTCATCACCTTTTTCAAGGTGTTTGAGCATAATTCCCCAGCGATGAGTTGATGCCGAAAAAAAGTTGTATAGTGCCTGTACGAATCCGAAGAATGAGATTGCTCCCTCGCAGCTTTCCGCTGCACGTACTCCAACCAAATTCAGTGAGTCCGCTGCACAGGGAACGTAGTGTGTGAGGTGATTTATTCTCTTAATATGCGCCTGGAGACCATTGTAACAACCAGACATATTCGGCGCATTATCGTAAGACTGACCTCTCAAATTTCTTACATCAATGTTATACTGGCTTAAAAAATTTAATATCTCGGTGGCTAGTTCTTCCCCTTTGTGGTTCTGCATGAGAAGAAATTTAAGGAAACGTTCAGCCACTTCTCCGTTCAACGTAACATATCTCAGCACTACAGTCAACTGATCATATATCTGGTGTCGAATCGACACTTATTGAGAAGTATTTGACTTCAATGATTTCATTAACAATATATTTTAAAACCTTATTTCCCAATATTTCAATCAGTTCCTCGCGAATCGTTGCAGACAAATACGATTGTTTTCCTTTGCCTTCATTACCATATTTTGCTAAATGCGAATTAAGAAACGGATCGTACTCAGCGATTAATTCTAAAATTCCCAAATAGTTGCCATTATGTTGAGAACCGAGAATTTCATTGTCACCACGAAATGCTAATCCATGGGATGCTAAAAATTTTATCACTGAGACCATTCTTTCTAAACCTTTCTTCCAATATTCTCGTTCTTTATTAAATGTAACCTCCAAGGAAGTGTCGATTCGTCCGTGAATGCGCCGTCTACTAATCAGTGTCTGTACACATACACGGCGAGTTGCATTATTCTCATGCGATTGAATTCGGTGCAACGCATTTTTCCAATCAGAAAATCCAGTTTGAAAGTGTGAACGGTTTTGAGCTTCACCAAAAAGGATACATGGAAAACAGTATACTTTTCCAATAGACGGAGAATACATGAGCCATTCCCGTTTGATTTTACCACCACTTATGTGTTTCCGAAAAAACATAGACTGAGAAAAGAATCTTTTACTGTCGTCGTACTGTCGGCTTGAAGCAGAAAAATCACACTCAAAGTGTTGACATTCGTTAGGGTCTCTAGTACACCAAAAAACTTGCATTTCGTTAGTAACATTTTGCCATAAGCCAATGCCATTCAGATATTCTACCCCTAGATGAACTACGTTTTGATGTATGACCTCTGTCTCGGCCTCACTTTCCTCTGCACCGACTAACGTAGCTGTTTCTTGATCCTGGCCAATCTGTTCAAAAGGCTCGCAAGGAACTTCTAGTGGGTCTACTACCATCGTGTGACTGGCAGAAGACGTACTTGGAGAGTCATGAGGTTGATGTTCCTTTGATTCGCGACTAAATCCGAGTTTGAAAAGGTTTTGTGTCTTCTTCAATTGTTCTTTAAGCTTATTTTGTTGCTCTTGCCGCTTTTTACATTTTTCTGAACCACTTTTTTTTCTTTACGGGTATCTCCGACATTTTGCTCCTGAAAAAATAATCTTTCGGTTTAAAACAGAAATGAAATTTTCACCTTAGCAGCTCAAAATTATTGAATTTCCTGCTTAATAATAAACACCCAAACTAATAATATTTGATAACGTTGAAATTAAATAAAATATGTAAGTAATTGAATAATAAAACGGCACTTCACATTTGTCAAGTCCTGTATTAGATAATAAAATATGTAAAAAATAATAAAACTTACGTATAGTAATGTTAACTTCAGTTTACACTACACGGATTTTTACTCGTCGTTTCACCGATTTTCTCGAAGCCCGAAGCACTTCTGCAGTCTTTATAAATAAATATCCAATACTTAGCTCTAAATTCGTATGTTTTGAAAAACAAACTGTAAAACTCTCTTTTCATTCACAGCCGTAAATCTCGCAAACAAATTGCACGAAGTGAAAATTCAACGATTACATTAAAAATGTTTCAAAAATGTTGTCTATGACACAATACAACGTATGTATTTAGCGGATCGGGGAATGCGACGCATGAACCAGTACTGCCAACCTTATTTTCACATACTGTTTGGTAGCTTGGCTATAGAATATACATACCTGTGGTAGGTACCAGAACAGTAAGTGTGCATTCGCAACGTAGAATTTTGCGCGTTTTTCAAGCGTTAAAAAAGCTGCTCTTGCTGTATAGTCATCTGATTAGTCGGCGTTAAAATTACCGCGATAAAATTGCTTGCGATTATATTACTGCGTTATATATGAACTAACTACCATAATATTAATATCTAATTTGGAATGCGTTCAGAAATGTACTAAAATAGCGTCGATGTAATGTACAGAGCAAGACAATCGTCATTGAAATTTCGAATTAAATATTTACTGTTTAAGAAACATTGTCAATTTTTTTCTCTGTAGCACAGGGCCCCTGAACGTGGCGGGGCCCCTAGGCAGTTGCCTACAGTGCCTAATGGATAAAACGGTCCTGCCTACACACAAATTCTATCCCTGATAAAATTCTGGTGGGGAAGTATTGTGGCATAACTACCTACCACTACATTTATTAAACATCAATTCACTAGTATGCAAGACATGCTAACTCGATTTTATCTCTGGGGTGAGTGTTTGATGCAAGCCTGATGACTGCAGTACTTCTGCGACGTCGCACTGATCAATGTTTGAACGACAGAACATCAAGATGAAATAGTTTTCAAATCCAGCCAACGTGAACACACCGTGTAAGCGGCAGTAGTAAATTGTTTAGCTTCGACGTACGTGAACGTGTTGATTGCTATAGCACGTGTGTGCTTTACAGCTAAGAATAACATGCTATATATAAATTGTGTTATTAAAAATTAATTACGAAAATAAATGAAGAATAAAAAAAGTTTAAGTTAAGGAAAAATTTAATTTACAACAAAAACATATAATGAAAACTTACATTGTAAAGAATTTAGATAATTGTAAAGAAGGGTTGAGGAACGCGTCCTCTCTCCACGAGAGTCAGTTTGGAAGTGAGTATGAGGGGGGTTTACAACCGGTTATGCTGGCTGGATTTACCCCACTTCAGTTCGTTTTGGAGTGGTCAGGAGGGTTGTCGAGGTACATACTTGGGGACTGGGTGTTTGCCGAGGCACACCACAGTACTCCCCCCTTAGTACCAAAGGTACGAAACAGTCCATAAAAGTCTATAGAGTGATTACAAGTATCGAGGATTAAACTTGACTTTTCTTCCAGAGCGAGTCATAACCGGTAAAGAGTCACCTTGCTCACTTTGAACTTGTGGAGTTGAAACTGCTGGCGTTGGAACTCTCTCTTCTAGTACGGGATCTGATGTTGAGTCTGTGTTTAAGAGAAAGGCTGGTTTTAGCCGGTCAATGCTTATGGTGGCTTCCTTCCCATTTTTCTTAATCGTGAAATGTTTTTCAGTTCTATGGAGAACTTCAAAAGGTCCATCATAAGGTGATGACAGCGCAGGTTTCAAGGTATCGATTCTTACGAACACATGGGAGCACGTTTCGAAAGCTGGATGTACGAAGCATGACGATTTTGAATGGCAGGACGCAGGTGTAGGTTTTAGAGTTCTGAAGGTTTCTCAAAGTTTCGAAAGATAAGTTGAAGGATCACTTGGAGCATCGGAAGGTGGTTCAAAGAGCTCTCCAGGTAAGACGACAGTTTGTCCATAGACCATCTCAACACAAGATGCATTGAGATCCTCCTTGAAGCAAGTTCGCAGTCCTAGTAAAACTACTGGTAACGATTCAGTCCATTTGGTGTTGTGGCACCGAAGAGCTTGCTTCAGAGAACGGTGGAACCGTTCAACCATACCGTTTGAAGAAGGATGGTAGGGGGTTGTGCGGATTCGCTGCATTCCAAACATAGACTTCAGGCAGGAGAAGAGATGGGATTGAAATTGTCGGCCTTGGTCTGTAGTCAAGATGGCAGGAACTACAAACCAAAATACCCAATGAGCGACGAAGGCCTTGGATACTGTTTCCGCTGAGACGTCACTGAGAGGGATGGCCTCCGGCCACCTAGTGTAGCGATCAACACACGTCAGCAAATAGTTAAAACCAACAGAGGGTGGAAGGGGTCCAACTAAGTCAATATGCACGTGCTGGAATCTCTCAAAAGGTAGGTTGAAAGGCTGTAATGGACATACAGTGTGTCTTTGTACCTTATTTCGTTGGCAAGATAGGCAGGAACGAGTCTATTCTGTTACGTCTTTCAACATGGACGGCCAGATGAATCGATCTTGCACTAGACGCTTGGTGGCGCGTATACCAGGGTGCGACAAGTTGTGCAATGAGCAGAATGCTTCATGGCGAAGTTTCTTGGGTATAAGGACGTACTTTTTCCTTACTGACATCGCAGAAGATTTCGAGATTATTTCCCATTTTTAAAGGTTTTAAGTCTATTGAAAAGTTATTAGAAGAGATTAAAATTTTTAGTTCCTCATCAGTCTTTTGACAATCGGCTAAGTTTTTTAAGTCAGTTGTAGAAAGGTTAATTGCGTTTATTCTAGAAAGAGCATCTGCGACAGTGTTATCCGAACCGGAAATGTGTCTGATGTCTGTGCTGAATTGTGCGATTAAGTCTAACTGCCGAAGTTGGCTTGGAGAACAAGATTTGGATTTTTTATTGAAGGCGAAGATTAAAGGGCGATGATCAGTAAATATGATAAACTTTCGGGCTTCTAAAATATACCTAAAGTGTTTTATAGTACTGTAAATGGCTAACAACTCCCTATCATAAGTGCTGTAGTTTTTTTCTGTTGCGGTTAATTTACGAGAATGGAATGCTATAGGGCGGATGCTAGATGGTGTGTGGGATTGTAACACAGAATCTATGGCTGAATCAGATGCATCTACCATTATTGATAAATTATGATTAGGAGAAAAATATGACAAAGTAGCAGAATTGGCAAAGTTAAGTTTACATTTATTAAATGCTTCCACTGCGACATCGTTCCAAGGGATCAAAGTTTTATCATTTTTCCTTGAGTTTTTCAAAAAATCGTGTAATGGGGCTTGGGTTTGAGCTGCATTTGGTAAAAATCGCCGGTAAAAATTAATCATTGCTAAAAATCTGCGAAGCTCTGCAATATTTTTTGGTTGGGGATAGTCAGTGATCATTTTTACCTTTTCGGGTAAAGGCTTAACACCTGATGGTGTAATTAAGCACCCTAAAAATGAAACTTGCGGTTTACCGAGAGCACATTTTGAAGGGTTAAGTTTTAACCCGTGTTCTTCAAGCCTTGTGAAAATTTGTCTTAAATGTTCTCTGTGTTCATCTGCATATTTGGATGCAATAAACAAATCGTCAAAATATGGGATACAAAAATTAAACCCTGACAAAACTTGATGTATATACCTTTGAAAAGTTTGACCAGCGTTTCTCAAGCCAAAAGGCATATATACATATTCAAAGAGGCCAAATGGCATTGTAATCGCTGTTTTCGGAATATCCCCAGGAAAAACAGGAATTTGGTGGTACGCTCGGGTTAAATCTAGAGTTGAAAATATCGTCATGACCTCGAATTGTTGCGTACAATCTTGGATATGCGGAACGGGATATCGGTCGGGGACGGTTATTGCATTAACACGACGATAATCCCCACATGGTCTCCAATCACCATTTGCTTTCTTTACCATGTGAAGCGGACTAGCCCAGGGGCTTTATGATGGGCGAATAATTCCCTGTTCTAACAAATACTCAAATTCTTTCTTTGCTGCCTCAAGAATATCGGGTGAGAGTCTTCTGGTTTTGGCATAAACGGGTTGTCCGAGAGTCTCAATATGGTGATAAACCAGCGATTCGGAATATAGTTTATTTACTATTGAAGGGTTTGTCAACGATGGAAATTCATTTAAAATTTGCTGAAAAGGTGAGTTATTTAGAACTGGAGTAATTTCTGTAATTTGAGTTAATTTATTTGAGGGGAAACCAGTTGACTTTAAATTAGTTAATTTATCAATTAAACAGCTGTTACGAACATCGACCAATAAATTAAAATGATTTAAAAAATCAACTCCAATGATTGCCTGAGTTACATCGGCTATAATAAAGTTCCAAGAAAATTTCCTGCGTAAATTTAAACTAAGATTTATTAATTTAGTACCATATGTTTGGATTTTAGAACCATTTGCAGCATATAGGACCAAAGTTTCTGGATAATTAGCTTTTGAACAAAATTTCGGAATGACTGAAACATCTGCGCCTGTGTCTATCAAAAATTTTAATTTCGTAGAGGGATCGTAGAGGGATCAAATAAATACGATCAATATGGCGTTCGCCACTCATGGCCTGGAGTGGCTGCCCTGTTGGTTTCCCGAATTTTGAAAAGTACATGGGGGTTTGCATTTTCTAGCTCTTTCTCCAAAGTTAGTGTGATAAAAACACATGTTATTCTGTGGTTCACGGTAATAATTTTGTCTAGAACGGGACCTACTATGATTTCTATTACCCCGATAGGTATTAGTTCGCTCACGTCCTTGTCTATTTTGCTGAGCTTCCTGAAAACTAGTTTTTAGTTCATTAATTTGTTTAGTAAGTTCAGAAATTTGATCATAAAGTGTAGGATTAGCGCTAGTTACAACTGATTCAGCAGAATTTATTTGGATAGGGCTAGCGAGTTCAATAATCTTATCAGCCATTGCAGCTAACTGAGTTAAATTTTCGTTTGACGCAGCAAGAATAGCTTGTATATTTTGAGGCAATCTGGCTAACCACAGCGATTTAAGAATGTTTTCGCTAAGATGAGATCCTGCTAGTTCTCGCATTCGAGCTAACAAATAGGAAGGACGTTGATCACCTAACTCTAGTCCTTGCAAAAGTGTTCTAATTTTAGAAGCTTCACTCTCTGAAAAAATACTAATTAAGCGATTTTTTAAAGCTGAATATTTGTCTGCAGCAGGAGGGTTTAAAACTAAATCCTGAACAGAGTTAAGTATATCAGATTCAATGGCCGCTACAACGTGATGAAATTTGGTAGCGTCGGTAGAAATTTGAGAAATAGAAAATTGCGATTCTAACTGTGCAAACCATAACACTGGATTGTTTTTCCAGAACGGAGGTGATTTAATTGCTACGCGAGAAATTTGAGAAGGTTGAATGTTAACTAAAGCTCCTTCATTCACCACGTCTCCTGGCTGTTCGTTTTCCGGCATTTTTGGACAGAAAAAAAAATTCAAAACAATAAATAGAATAAAGGTAAAATATTTATAAATTAATTTTAAAGCATTCCTTACGCTATATACACACTAATCCACGAGATAAAAAAAAAACGCGCACAGTACTACCACAGAATCAGACACAAACACGTGGGTATAACATACAAAATTTTGAACATAAAAAAAGAATATGAATAAAATTAAAATAAACATATTGCTAATAGATTTAAATTCATTATATTGCATGGAAAGTTCCGATTAAATAAAGAATCAACTTAAAGTTTATGTCCGGGTCTACCAATTATAGCACGTGTGTGCTTTAAAGTTAATAACATGCTATATTTAAATTGCGTAATTAAAAATTAATTACAAAAATAAATAAGAATAAAAAAAGTTTAAGTTAAGGAAAAATTTAATTTACAACAAAAACATATAATGAAAACTTATATTGTAAAGAATTTAGATAATTGTAAAGAAGGGATCTGGAACGCGTCCTCTCTCCACGCGAGTCAGTTTGGAAGTGAGTATGAGGGGGGTTTACAACCGGTTATGCTGGCTGGATTTACCTCACTTCAGTTCGTTTTGGAGTGGTCAGGACGGTTGTCGAGGTACATACTTGGGGACTGGGTGTTTGCCGAGGCACACCACAATTGCTTTGGCCTTTCGTTAGTAGCATCTAGGACCTGTCCGATCAAACTGTTAATGGCGGCCATTTGCGTTTGAAACCGACTGGTTGAAGCATGTTTCACAAGTAGGAGTCTGGCTTTACTAACATCTATTGTCCTTCGGGAACCTCGCCCAGTTTAGTTACTAGCGGAGACTGGAGATGTTAATTATCTAATCGAGATAAGTAATCTTAAAAACAGCGTTTTCTTCAAGCAAAGCACAGTGGACTTCATTTTTGTTGATTACTCTCAACTCGTTTTCAAGTCATCTCACAGCTTTTCCTCACCATGGCAATGTGCCATTTTTCGCCCCACCTCATCCTTAGCATTATGCCTTTCACCTCATCGATCCTTACTTCATGATGAAGGGGTAAAGGGCCATCTCGGCCTCAGGCACCCCGACTAATCAACAAGACCAGGCTTAATCTTTGGGTACTATTAGATGGATGAAAGTTGACTTCGTCGAAAGCTCTTACCCCCACAATGCTAATTAATGTTAAAAAAATTTGCGTACTAAAAATCAAAAATAATGGAGAAAAGTTACTTATTCATTTTGGGGATCCGTTAAAATCGCTATATTATTGTTGATATTAATGCTTTATTAATATTGATAATATGAATTACTTGAAATATGAATTAATTAAAATAAAATAAGCTATATGCAAAAAAATAAAAAATAAATGAGAAAATGTTAATAGAAAATTCGTTTATGAAAACCATAGAAAATCGCCATTCACAAATGACTCTTAATTATTGTGCACTATACTGACAATAATAAAATACCATTGGTATTATGGTAATTGGTGCAGTTTCGATAGGAATTCTACAACGAGTTTTCCGTACTTTCAGAAAATATTTTTTTCGATTTTAGCAAAGATAGCGTAATCCTTATCAAGTTCTAATAAGAATTTTTTATTTTTGAAATCGCCTGGCTGTCACTGACGAATGTATTTCTCACAAAACTCAAATGTTGAAGGGTTATGTAATAAGCATTAAATATATTAATATAAGAATAAAATGTATTGATATATTGTGTGATTATTAAAACAACACCAATACAAAGCAGTTTTTATACCGATACTTTTAAAATAAGTGTTTTACACCCCCTGGAAAGGTATATATAACAGAGAAATTTACTTGTTAGTGCAATAGCATAATGCTAAGTAATGCCAAATATATTTTATTTTTATTCTAATGGGATGATTTATAGAAAACGGGTTTTATTTACTTCAATAACGCAAAGCCACCGAAAAAGGCAACAAATAATAATAAAAAAAATTGAAATTATTTTAACTATATGAATTGAAAAACTCAGTGTATGATCCAGGCAAGTGGCTTTTCAGAACGAAAAGAAAGTTGAATATGAACTATTTTATTAACAATTTATTCGAAGGCGGGACTCAAAAGTTTTTTTGCTTTATTTCATTTACCACTGTTTAATTCGAATTAAAAATCATGCAAGCATACTAAAAACTGGTGTGATTGGGTCGCATTAATTTAATCGACAATCATTTCATCGACAGGCCATTTCATCAACAGACCATTTCGTCGACAAGATCATTTCGTCAAATGGGTCATTTCGTCGACATGGTCATTTCATCGACACCACTTCAATGACTAGGTCATTTCGTCGACAGGCCATTTCTTCGACAGGATCATTTCGTCAACATGGTCATTTCATCGACAAGGTCATTTCGTCGACAGGATCATTTAGTCGACAATTTGCAGAAAAGGTTATTTCGTAGGCAAAGTCATGCGTAATTTTGAAACTAGTTTTCTGATTTTTTACATTAGACGTTATGCCCCTTGCCGTTCTTTGTAATTTAGTATATTTGTGTTAAAATTTTTTAAACCTAGCCTGATGCAAAATTTTAATAGTATGTTGAAGTTGCCAGAAAAAAAGCATTTTATTTGAAAATTGCCTACTCTTTCACATCAAGTTGAAAAAACGAAACATTTTTCACATTTGGTGTTGTAATTGCATTTTACACATTTATGTTGTATATTACACAATTTTTTTCTAGTCATAACACATTTATTACTAAGACAGATTTTTAATGTACATTATTATTGATTAGCATCGCAAAAGCAATTGCAATAACTATTGTGAATGATTCTTGATGTAAGGAGTGAATGAAGGGGGAAATTAGCAAGGAAAAAAAGACAGTATATAATGAATCTGTGAGATAATGAAACCATGTGGTCGATAGGTCATTTCATTGTCAAGGTCTTTCCGTTAACAGGCCATTTCAGCTGCAGAAATTCTCCGTCGATAAAAAGAAAATTATACTTAAATAATGTTTCCCACAATGAGTATACTCATTAATACAGTTTAAAATCTTTTCAAAAGTACAAAAAAGGAACAAACTTTTACAATGATAACAATGGTGGTGATTACAAAGAATTTAATCAGAAAAACACAACAAATCTTTTAGATAGTTAGCTAGTAAAATTACTTCTTGTTTTATTAAAAATTTATATATTCCCTGTGTTTATATATTTATTTTTTCAAGCTCAGTTGATTTTTTTTCATATGCAAGTAATCATTAATTTTGTTACTATTGACATATTAACAAAATTTTCTTACATAAAATTTCAATATTTATATATTTTCTCTTTTAAAAAAATATCGCTTTAGGGAAAAACAAATGTATGCGTGGCTATTGCGAAGGTTGGTGAGCGCAGTGAGCAAGGGGCGGAACTTCCTAGTATTATAAAAATCTTGAAAAAAAAAATGCATATGGGGAAAAATAAAAGGAAAATCCACCTTGGAAAACATATTAGGAAATATTGCTGATAAAAAAAAAATTGTTCTAA